TTGCTGATAAAGTGTAATTACCGTGGTGAATTGAACAGCACGGAATTCCTTGTGTTAGTCCTCATTTTGCCGCGAGCCCTTGTTCTTCATCCCCTTTCTATCTTCCTGTGCTCTCATCTGGTATAAAAAATGTCGGGTCGAAAATTTTCGACAGATTTCACAGCGCTAAAGAACTTTAAACTTCCATGACTTGGTGAAAATCGATATCCTCACGGAATAGACACCATTCGAATGCTTTCTTTTCCACGAAAATGAAGTATGTCCGGGATCAAATTTCTGCAAACAGCGAATTCTTGCGCAGTGCCTTTGACTGCATGACGATTTTTTTCCCTAGGTGGTCTCGATGATGCGGCGAGGCGATGAGCTCGCGGTGGGGAGTGGGTTGAGGACCTATCAACAATGGATTATTCACTAACACAGAACTTGGTTTAAATAGTTGTCCTGAGACTATATAACTCTCCACAGTTTTCTTTTGAATGCGGGAAGTGGTGAGTCCTGAAATGTGGACCCACATACCTACGAGGATATTCCTTAAACGCGAGTTTGATGGAAGGGATTGGTTTTTGCCGAAACAATAAATCTTCCTCTAGCGACATCTAAGTCTTATTTAAATGTAACTACGACACTTTATCGATTTTCATTGATTTCAGTGTTTCTTTTAACCAGTTTTGAAGTTAAGAAGGGAAATAGTGAAGCTAAATTCATTTACACAGGAGGAGATGCTAAAATTTCTTTATTAGAAACAGTTTAGCAGTGGAAGTGCAGGTTTTCTCTTAGAGAAACTCAATGCTGAACTGGTTTACTTAACAACCAGCGCAACATTTTCACTTCAGTTAAACATCAGCTTGCCCGTTGTTTGAACCCTTATTATAAGCACATGCTTCCTCGTTGTGTATTTGATAGCTATCGATTGGTGCCCGAACTTTCTTGCTATCTGGATAACGTAACTTTCGTTGTGACACCTTTATGTAGAACAGTTAATTTTTATCTAACAATGAAAAAAGCGCTAGTTGCTTTATCATACGCCCATAGATCACTTTTTTCATGGGGTCGTTTCTTAAGGTCCGAGAAATATTTTGTTCTTTGGTTCTACCTGGTTACCTTATTAGTCATTAATTTTGTCTGTTGTTTAGTTTCTCATGTCTGCAATATTCCATTCAAGTAATTTAATTGCTAGTCGATTAGTTCTTTCTTCTCATAAAACTTTCACGTAAGGAATTGGGACCAAAGAGATCTTAGCGCAAATTTAGCGCATTGCGCTTATATTTTAGGCTTAGAGGGCCATTTTAAACCAAGAAGAAATTTGTTTTTATTGTAATAGAAAGAACGAGAAGTGACCGACTGAGTACTTGAAGTAGCACTTTTTTCATCCCTCGACCGAATATCTTATCACACATCAGTAATAACCGACATTTTCTCATATAATGAGTACTGGCTTTGTTCTTACTTACAAAAGCTCCATTACACGTAATTGAGGGTTCTTGCTAGAGTTCAGAACTAAAATTAGAAATGTGGTAAAAGCTGAACAGTGCAGTTGTTGTATAGTCAACTTTCCCGTTGTTTGAACCCTTGACATCTCTTATCATTTTATCGGCGCTTAGAGAGTTTGGCAGCCCTAGGAGGGTCTTGAACTTCTGCACTGTGCTATCAACCGGATAACAGTTGATTTCGCAGGCGAACTTCTTACGTTGCACAACATCTGGAGTACAGTACTCCACTACTCGAATCAACACTAAAGATCGTTTCTAGACGGATTAAATAGATAAGGGGAAGCGTTTTATGTTGTACTGTCCGTTCACTTTTCTGATATCGATTATTACATTACGGTTGTCCATGAAAAACGGATAGTGTACGGGTTCAGAAGGTGCAAAAATGTTAGAGCCGTTCACAACGAACTTTGTAAATGAAAGTCGAAAAGCAGACCATAACGGAACGCTGTACTGCTTCACTTTAGAAGCAGATATGCACTAAGGTCAATGTTGCTGAACAACTCTTCCCATCCATAACTCCATTAGTTGAAGCGATGATGATTACACAGATTGACTGTGAATGGCCGAGCTCTTCATAAACACTTCATAGTTTTCGCTTCACTTTTAGCCCAAAAGGGAAAAACTCCTTAGCTAATGCTATAATGGCCACGAAAGTACGAGGTGAATTGCTTCAGAAGTTCATAGCATAAATTTATTTTGTAGTATCCCAGCTCTATAGTTCATTCAGCAGTTGGTTTCATGTTGTAAACCGCGAATCCATTTAAATCTGCGAATCAACCGAAGTTCATTCTCCCGACGACAGGGTTATGTACGATGGTCGGAGGTTTCAGATGTTATTAGATTTGAATCGTGAATTCTGGAATGTAATTCGATTTGTAGACGCTTTAGGCCGCACTGGAGGGTTTTTTCTTCGTTTACGAGGATGTAACTGCAGCATTTTTGCTGGGTGCTACTGGTCCCTTCGTTTTGTATCTGCAAAATAATATTTTAATCATATTCATTCAAATTTGAGACAGTTTCATTCATCCTTTCATCCTTCTAAATCCAGTTTCTTTTATTCATTAGAAAGGAGATGGTCATCGATGCCGGCTACTTGGTGAGGGCAGTGTTAGTAAATCTATTACTGCATAGTCGATAAGCTCTTCTGAATAGTAGATGATTTTGATGGGAATCGATCGATTTTTCTGATCGATTTACCGTTTGAAGACGTTGATCGAGACGAGTAAGAGATGTGATTTGTTTGCTTACGGGAAAGCACGTACACACACACAGACAGACAGACAGACAGCTATCACCAACCGACGGCAAGCATCAATTTGTTCAAATAGAAGTGTCACGCTTCTTTGTGAATGGATTAACTGGTTACCTTAACGTTGTGTACGATAGAATCCAAGCAGGTCGATTCTTCTATAGGTGGATTGTAGCATTTTTCCTTCTTCGACTTTCCCATGAACACTTTTGTTTCAATTTGTTCCGCTCTCATCTGCGTTTCGTACCAAAAAAAAGAATGAACAAAGAGGTAGAGAACTGAATTCCTGACATCGTATTCATCATCATCTGCTTCATAGTTGTACCTTTCACAAAAAGGGACAGCCGCTGCTGTTGGCATTTACAACATTCACACAACCATCATCTATCGAATAATATAGCGACGGCGGACGGACCACATAAATCGTCAGTCACCAGCCAGAGTATCGTTTCAGATAACTGGCCATCTATATCGGTCGACTGGTCATCCAGTTCCTTTCACTTCTTGGCCTATGTAAGTCTGTCGAATATCTAGTTAGTGGTAAAGTGGAAATATTGGGGTTTCATAGACATTGCATTGTGGTAGGCCTGTATGTTGGTTGACTACATGTGTGCTGTAATCTGGCATCTTCATCATCAATGTTTTTTTCCTTGAATCGATTATCTTTTCGTCCATGACAATGCTGGACGACTTCTGAGTTGTGGTTGTTATCTGAAAAAGGGTCGACAGGAATGCAACAGTCTGTCATCGTAGGGTTCGCTTTCGCGTTCTCAGTGATCTCGATAATTCGTCAACAGCTGAACTCTCATATGGCACCACTTTTTGATGAAAAATGGAGTTTATAGTTCGATCGTGTCTGATCTTTCAAGAATTAATACACTGGTGTTTTATCCTAAAGTTAAGGGTTTTTGAATGTAGTCATGCTCATAGGTCGACGTACTTGCAAGTCTACTTTCACGTGGACGTCTCTGAGGCCAAATGTTTTCATCCCTATACTCTGAACTGGACAGTTTTGCTGTTTTATGACGACCAACATTGATACAGTACTGTTTATAAATATTCTACCAACAACCACGATGTTGCTGAGATATTTGCAAAACTCCGAACCACAGGTATCAGCGATGGAGAACGAACGCGCTATTACCCTTTCCGGAGGCTAACGTGTTCACCACCACATCATGTGGATCTTTCGTTTCACCTGTCTCTCAGTTAGTTCTATCGTTTAGTGCCATCAGCAATCGCCCGTCGACGGAGTTGATCTGGGAAACCCAAATCGGCATTGAACCCAGTTAAGCTGAGGCTATAGTTGAAATTCACAATGTCAACTTTTTATTTACTGTCTGTTACAACCCGAATGGTGTAGTGGTGAAGTGCGCTGCTCCCCGGTAAGGACAACAGCGTGTGTTCGTTCCCCACTGCATACACCTGCGGTCCGGAGTTTTGCAAATATCTCAGCATTTCATACGTGTCTGTTACAATTTTTCACTGCAGAGTATTATGTGTGATATAACCACAACGATGCTGAGATATTTGCAAAACTCCGGACCGCAGGTGTCTGCGATGAAGAACGAACGTGCTATTACCCTTTCCGGAAGCTAACGCGTTCATCACCACACTATGCGGGTTCTTCGTTTCACCTGTCTCTCAAGTAGCCAGCTATTCTACCAAGATTTGGCATGATTCTTCCGCAGAAGTCTGGAAGTTTATAGTGATTCGTAGTATTGTCCATCATTTTCTTACAGTGCTTCTCTACTTTGGTTCAGCTTTCATGGTAGTTATCTGGACGTCTTTAAAATTTTAGTGCATCGTAAAGGCTTCAAATTCTCGTAAATCTTTCATAGATGATGAAATCATCATTCTCTACTCTCTTGGTCGGACATACCCGTCGCATTCCTACAGATTTGTTCTTTCCTCTATTTTTTTCTTTTCTATTACAACTGAGAATTCGAGTCTGTCCTCACCTATTCGACGAATCAATCAATAATAAGCTTCACTTGTCGAATATACATCATACTTGTATGCATAGATGCAAGTGCGTATATGACTGCGTGCGGAAATGTAGATGTATGCGTGGATGAAAGTGCACACGTGCGCCTGGAAATGTGTGCATTATGTGTGATATTATGTGCCTTCGAACAGTTAAATATGTAAGCGAATGAGTGTATATCGAACCGTTCCAATGTTTTGCTCTTTGTCTGATGAGCAGAAGTAGCTCATCGAAACGATTCAATACATCATTTATCCTTTAAATTGGAATCAGCATGGACGTATGTGGGTTTGCTGTCTGTCTGCTTGTCATCTGTGTGCGTTATATGGAGCACTTCAACACCACCATCTCTACTATACCTCCTATATTGCACTTCTACTGGGCTTGTCATCTGTGTGCGTTATATGGAGCACTTCAACACCACCATCTCTACTATACCTCCTATATTGCACTTCTACTGGCAGCGCCGCATCTAGGAGATACGGATGCCGTCGTCGGCCCCGGTCGGTCTCTGTCCACCGCCATCGATGGCAGCTCGATATTTTTGGAGCGCTGCCAGGCCAGGACCGTGCCTCATCTACCCGGCTTCGGTGTTTTTCCGACTCTATCACTTTCATCCGTACGGATCATTCCGCCCCTCGTCCCTCCTCCCCGATCTCTATCCGATTTCATCCCGCAGCGTTTTGACGTTTGTCGAGTGGTGTGTTTCTGTCGGTCGGCACGTTCTGCCTTCATTCGTCAGTGTGTTGCATTGATCGATGACTTGATTCATTCAGTCATCAATGCTGTATATTCGACAACCAGTTACAATAGTGAGCTTCCTGATCACATTGAGTTTCTGCGTTTGCATTACTGAGGCACTTAGAAAGTGCACGTTTTTTCTGCATTTGAACTTTAAACTCTTCTCTAACTCATTCATTCATGCTGTCGTTAATTTGTCTCTGCCGCGGTCTTTCAACCCAACTCATCATCTTTCCTCTCATCCAGCCTGTTTCTCCACTACTTTTTTTTACTTCGAACGTGATTGTGAGTCGATGAACTCGCTGATCGGCAACGTTCAGTCGGAGCAAGTCACGTTCGATTTCGCTTCCTAAATGTTAAAAATACTGTTAGAAGAAAAAATGGAAAAATAAGAGCACTATGAATTGCGGTGTACGCGGATACAGTCGGATTCTTCAACACAATAGCTCCTGGTTACTGTGGTTTCACAACTGAATGAAATGGTGGTTCATTTTGTGGACTATTATTGGCAAGGGTTTCAGCTGTGAATGGATCCAGTCCTGAACGTACGCCATTCGCAAAGCCACATATTAATGAATACAGTATCTATAGTATCCATGAACACGGACATTCCTTCTTTTATAGCGACACGTAAAAGATCGCCAGTCTAATGAAGGTGGACTACAAAAAAAGCTCGACATCACATTTTCTCGTACGATTTCCCTATTTCCATCAGCAGTTACAAATTGAATTTTTCTGGATTTCTGATCACTTGCATTATTTTTGAACTTCGACCCTTTCTAAGAACGAGAAAACTATAAAATTGGAAGGAAGTGGCAGAAAAGTCGGGAGAAGAGCTCTCGGCCCTGATCAATCCTTGAGGGATGCCCCATGCATTCGACTTCATTAAGCATCGTTAGACGTGATTGAATGCATATCTGAGCTTTAGAATGCCTCGTGATGGCCTGCTGACTTATCGAGCCAGTGCTGCCATCCTCCCAGACAATTCTGGTACCAATTTGGCGACCTGGAGCGATGGAGGGCTTGGTGAGCCTGGGACGCGGGGATCGATTCCACGTATGTGTTGCAGTGGCGCCTCCAACCTCTGCACCACATACGTCCCAAGAAAAGTGGAAGAAAAAACTAAATGGATTTTGTGAACTCAGTAAATCGATCAGCCGAAGTAGGTAGTAAAAGTGATGCTCTTGAAAATCTTTACCTGCGTGCAATCAGATCTAAATGACATCGTTGTTCAGTGCTCGCCATTATAGCGACCTTTCTGTCTGATGACGCTGGAGGTTTTGACTTGATGTCCCTACTTTTTACGGTTCGTTCGGAAGTGTTTCCAGTCTCCTTAGCAATGTATGTCTTCTTTTTTCTTCCACATTCCACGATTTTGCGACTTTCGTTCTGTCTTTCCGTAGCGACTGTTCTGACGCAATGATAAATGCGCTCCTAGGCGTCGCAGCTTGGGGCCCATCGGAATTTAAACTCTTTCATTTCATGCAAATCGATCGAAGAACAGATCGTTTTGTATGGTGAGTATCGAGGAGTGGCTAGTGATGGGAGGATAGTAGCACTAACTCGATACATCGCTAAGCCACCGCGGGTTATTGCATAGACCAAATATGCATTCAACCACCTCTAACGATACTTAATGAAGTCGAAAGCGTATCCCTTAGGGGTTGACCAACGGCGAGAGCTTTATCCTCTGTACTAAGACAGTTTGTTACGTTCGCAAATGTAACGTAACGTTGTGTTTCCGCAGTCTAGAGGTCAAAGTTCATTTTCAAACTCACTTCGTATTTGAATAAGATTATTTCATTCCTGAAATTCATTCCAGCGCTCCTATCGAAAATGGTTGAGTTGTCGCTGGTTATATGAAGAGAAAAAATGCCTTCACTTCTATGATTGTGTTTCGTGGAAATACTTATCTATCGGTTTCATTGTCTGATAGAAACGCGACGTCGCGTGCGTCGCCGAATGTGGCCGAGTTCGTCCAAGAACGAACGCATTCAGTGCACATCACCAGAACGGCCGACTGACTCGGCATACTCGAATTGCCCCTTCAGTCTCATTCATTTCTGTCTACATGAATTTCTACCTATGCAACCTCTAATTTGAGGAGGTTTGATCATTTCTTCACCATGTTTAACTTATAAGTTAGTTATACATTGCGATTTCGACTGCGGCTTCAGCTTAATTGACTTCAATTCCTATTTGCGCTTCCTATATCATTCCCGTTGATGGTTGATTGCTGATAGCTCCGTTAGGGTGAAAAGGAAAGCTGGTTGAGAGAAAGGGAAAGCAAGGGCCTCGATGATGCAGTGGGTAACACGTGAGCATCCGGAAAGGGCAACCCCAAGTTCGAAGCCCAGACGAAGTTCAGAGTTTTGCACATAACCAGGCATCCTAATGGTTGTATTACCTGAGGGTTGTGCGTTCTGAACGCAGGTCATGTCAACTAAATGTCAGAGTTCGTACTGGGTTACTTCTTTTTGTGATGTTGGTAGCTGGACGTGTGAATTCGCTTAACAAGATGAGTTTAGCAGAACTAATTCACCGACTTCAGCGATGCCGGCTGCTAGCGGCACTTTACTCAATAGCTACAGTAGTTTTGGTTTCTTCTGTAATCCATGGCACATTTTAAATAGAAGGCAATGCTGGAACGGTACGTCTTTCGGGTGGTGATTTTATCACATAACAATTTACAACTCCTGCTTACGTGGTTCATTAAAATGGGCCATCCTTTCAAGTCGTCTGGGCTCCAGCGATGTAGTCATGAAAAAGAGCAGAACGATGTGCCTATGATTTTCATCTAACGCTGAGTGGGCTTTCGTGTCTTCAAATCAAATTGACTGCACTTTTCCTTTCTCGATGATGTTAGCTATCTGGTCGAAACCTCTCACCTATCTCCATATCTGCTGAAATTACCATTCTCCAACTGATATTAATTTTAACCCTATATCGATTGCGATTGTTATTTGACGTGGTTCTAATATAATACATTGTCATTGATGAATATTCGGGTTTGTGTACGTCTGTCTATGTCTACTGACGGTGTGTCTGTTTACGACATACTAATGCCACAGTACTACGGTGGCGCAGGGTAACGCGACATGACCAGCTGCAACCCTGCTACGCGATCGTCTTGCTGCAAGTGAGTTACTTGTTGTCTTATATTGTTCCATACGGCTTGTGGTATCGAACTATAAGCTCTCGTATTAACGTGCCATCTACCACAACAGTGAACGTTCGCGTTTTCCCATTTCTTCTTCATTAATCTTCCATTTAAACCGCTTTTCTGAAATCGAGCAGCAGTAGCATCTTCTCGAAGTTCTACCGTATTCAAAGGCCTGAGTGCCAGGACACTAATCTCGCCATGCGATCTATGCTCAGTCATGTAGGAGGCATCGAATCGAACTTGCACCTTGTGTTTTCGCTTCGTCGCAGTAATGGTGCTCGTCTGTCTCCGAAGCCGATATGTGATCGACAGACGAAGGAATACCGGTGTCTCAATAGCGATGTGCAAGTGTCTTACTGCTCTCGATACATGTATTTTCTTTTCCTTCACCTTCATCACTTCTCTTAATTCTACTCGAATTCGGTTGGCGAATATGAGGTTTGGCGCCAGCAGTTTTATCTTGTCGTTTCTATTCCTCTGTAGAACACGCTTATTCCTGTAGCAAATTTAAAGGACCTTTAAGCAGTAATAAGCGTTATTAATGGGTTACAGATAAATTTGTAACCTAATTGATGGCTAATGCGAGTAACTAGTTAAATTGTCTTTGCAAATGAACACTTTGTTTGCAAGAGTTAATTGGAAAGAAGGCGCGTCTACGAAGTTTTCTGCAGTTCGACGCCTGAAATCAATCATTCTAGGTCTTACTGTAACATTAACAGGTAATAGAAACTCAGTAGTTAGTGTTAGAATTGGAGTATTTGATTAGATATGTTTCTCAAGGGACTATTTTGATCCTGTTAAAACGCTACTATGGTTATATTTCTTTTAAATTTATAAGCCTGTCCATACACTGCCTTAAAGTTCTCGAGCAGCGCTTCAGTTCCGCGTCATGAGACATCATCACACTAACTCTGGAGAAATCCTCTCTGTGTTCGACGCTACTCCACTAGTGTTCTACAACCCACGGATGTTATGTCGTTACGATACTGTCTGATAATCGAGCAGTTCTATGGACATGTCGCGGATGAAGTGATAAGCGACGTTTGCTTGTCGTTTGTTGCCGTATCCTTGGAGATCCTTAATGCTTTCGGCTAGAGATTAATTCTCTCAGTAAGTAGCGCGAACTGAAGTCAGATTTTTTCACTCATACTTTCCTTTATGGCTACCTATTTTTCGGTAATGATTACGTGATGTTCTCAGTACTCACGAATGCCTATTAACTTTTCTTCACGGTTCTTTTAGGTCTTTGTTGTCAGGTGTCTTGTCTTTATCTATATTCGTTCTGATCCTTGTTATTATGACGAAAACAAAAAATTGTCTGAAGTAAGCCAACATTCATGCCACTTTTTTAAGCACCTGATTTCCCCCTTCGTTTCTGGCTTAGGTTCAGGACATCTTTGCGGTGCATCGAGGCTTGCCCGATCACTGACGACCAATAAAATGCCATCGAACGTCTCAATCAGTTCACGTTTGCACAACAGACTGCGATTCCAGTGGCCCGTCCATGGTGTGCGAGCGGCAGTTTTACTATTTAACTACTTGATTTGTGCATTGTTGAAGAACCGGTTTCTCTCTGGCCATGGTGTTCATTGTCAACTCTTGCGGAGACAAACGAATAACTGTCATGAACTCAGCCCACCTTGACGATTCCAATTTTACTTTCGATATATTTTTCTGTACTTAGTATTGAGTGGGAAAATCTGGATATGTGGAATGATTGAGTACAGTGACGCAATCATGACTCGATCTCGTTAAACAGATAGACTCTTATCCGCTGCTCTGTAACTCTATAAATATAACTTTAAAGATGCTGAGATATTTGCGAAACTCTAAATCGCAGGTGTCTGCGATGGGGAACGAACGCTCTATTACCCCTTACGAGGACTAGCACGTTCACCTCCACGGCATGCGGGTTCTTCGTTTCGCCTGTCTCTATATAAATATAGTTTGAAACCACGTATAATTTTCTCGTTAACTTTCCTTCATACTCAATTATTAGCCTTTCATATTACAGTTCCTAACCTCAGGAATCATTCTCATTGGTGCCATATGCTATGTGGTTTTCGTGAGAATGTGCTACGGAGTCCGAAGTAGAAGGGCTTTCCAGAAAGAACGGACGAACAATGCGGAAGTTTTTTGGCCATGAATATTTTTCCAATTCTGATGAGCTTAAGGATATAGGAGTGGAAAGATAGCCCTCATTTAAGTGCTTTTCCAATGAATGACACCCTCTCCATGTTTGGTATGGCCGGTAGGATCACAAACCATCGAACCATGCAATCTAAACATTACAGAACAACAGAGGAGTCAATTTAATGAGCAAATCAATGCCGATCATTAAGTTCTTATCTGGAGCAATAACGCTTATCAACAGCTTTGATCCTAAGCTGTGAGTTGGGTGGACTTTGATGATTATCGCTACGTTCCTGTTTTCTTATTTGCCAATCAAGCTGCGTGGCAATGATGGGCGCATTAGTAGTTTTTGCTCTTCCAAGGGCAAAGCAAGAACAAGTCACTTTTTTACCGAGAAAACACTGCTTGAAACTTATCTAGGTCTCGTTTTCGATCGGCTTTCAATACTGCTCTCGATCGGTCAGTGGACGTATCAGAAGAGTAGCTGCCGTCCTAGAAGAATAGTACTAGTCGCAAACGAACAGACCTCTTTCCGTTCCATAAGGACATCAATAGCCTGTGATGAAGATTTAGGAGCATCCTTTTTCGGGAATTCAGAGGAAATCAGGCCCCATTGGCATCCATAATCCCAATCTGGAGAGGTTATAGCACTACTCCCGAACTTGCATCATTGCACGCTAGTCCAGCCACCTTCATAGGTGGTGGTTTCCTGTCGACGAAACAATCGGAATGCACATTTAGGGGGAACTGCAGATTTGATTTGTATCCATTCTGATTCATTTATTTACTTGTTTCATTGATTTTTTGTAGTAGTGCTAATGTCGTTAATGGTTTGGCGAGTTAATAGGTCTACAACTGCAGTGAGCTATCAGGTAGAATCGTACAAGTTCGGGTTAGTGTAATTGTTTACTTAAAGAGATCTCGTTACAAATGCTCATTCATTACAAAGCAGTAGTGGAAATTCGACTTCGTCTCTGTGACACTAGGCTTTTTAACGAATTTACGCTAGTCCGGGTCCATTCTTGTTGATCCTTCTAGTTGTCATATATTCGTGGTTTAGTAAACTCTTGGACATTTTTAGCGCTCAATTGTTGAGCTGACTGCCTTCGCTCGTCATCTTAAGCCTTATAGAGATAGATGGCCGTGTGTGGTGTCGGGCTCGGGGCCGTGGTTTTTGGACAGATCTTTGAGTGAATGCGCACGCCCAGAGGGAGAAGTAACGAGGCCGGCATGAGTCCATTATCTGACACCCATCGGAAGTTCGTGACTAGCGTTTCTGCGCTTGTTATCGTTGAAGCAGTAGGTTCGACTTCGGACTACTCAATTGGCTCCATGCTAGACGTTTCTAGCCTCCGAATGAAGAGTCTGGTTTAAAAAGCTAGACCTCTCGTTTCATGCCGAGCGGACGAAATCGTCTTACCGAAAGTGTGCTGAGAAAAAACATTAGGAAAAGCAGATTTTTTTTCATAAGGTTGAATCACTCAGAAATAAAAGTGCTAAGTATTCATTGGCCACAAACCGAATTAGGGCCCTGTTTCTTCTGATTAGCTACACAAAGCGTGCACACTTTTTTCTTCTCGTTTGCATTGTAATTGTTTAATCTGTGTTTTCTGGTAAAGTAAAGTGCAAGAGTCTTCATTGAATCGTTTAACGTTCTAAGCTGCTAATAAAACTTGAAAATTACAGCCTAGCTTCATCGAAATTTCTGCGATATGAGTGCATAGGAGAGCTCATTATCGTCATTGTCGTTAGGTTTTTGAGTGCTCCTAGTTTTTAGCCTTTTCATTGCTTCATTCGTTCGGGATCACGAGATTCTTGGTTAACAATAGTTTCAGCGGTGCTCTTCTGAGTGTCATTCAACCAACGATCGTTGCTTCACCCCAATTTCTATTTTCTGGACAAATTAGCTTTTCTATGCTCTGTTTTAAAGACATTTAACGCTAGGTGCCCCAGTCTGAATTCTTGAGGATTATAACTTCAGCAGCAAAGCTTTTGTTCGTGTTATCATTAACATCTGGTAGCCTTTACACTCAGTGAGCCTATGGAAAGGGCAATGGCGGTTCGATTTGGCCTAGGTTCCAAGTTTTACAAGTATCTGAGCATCATTGTGTTTACAGTCAATCTTCTCTAATAGGAAGCAATGTCTAATTGAATGTCAGTGCGCGAGTTTAGGGCGTAACCAGTATCTTATCATCAATATAGTCTGCAGAGGTTGACGTTACTTTCATACTGCTTCTGCAGTTGGACGACCTTTCCGCTCTCCGTCCTCATCTCCGTCGTCGACTACGACGACGACGTCGCCCGACTCGGCGGCTTATCGACAATGTGCGAGACGGCTGGCGGCGAGCCGACTGATTCGCGCTGCTGCCGTCGCCCTCCGCTCCGCCGCCGTCTGTGGGCGCTTGCCGCGTGCCGCTCTGCGCTCTCCGTCGCCTCCACGGTCTGCTCGCGGCTTGAACGCCGACGCCGCCCACCGCCGCCGGCGTCCGTCTGCGTTCAAGCTGCAGCCGCTCGCTCACGCGTCATTCCGTCTGCTTAGTTTTTTTTTCCACACAGGTGTTATCGGATTCGTACAACCCGCGGAGTTGAGGGAAGTATAGCCGTCTTGAGCGATCGCATCGCATGCTGAGCGTCGGCGATTCTGGCACACATCTTGGATTTCGATGCTGACATGACTAGAATTCCTTGACGTAAGCAGCATTGTCTTAGTCTTCCAAACCTTAGAAACGACAGTATTTTCTCGTATCACAATGATGCTGAGATATTTGCAAAACTCCGGACCGCAGGTTTCTGCGGTTGGGGACGGATACGCTATTGTCCTTTCCGGGGAGTAACGCGTTCACCACCACACCATATGGGTACTTCGTTTCGCTTGTCTCTCAGCTCAGCTAGATCTATCGATCACTGCCATCTCATATTTTCGAAGTTTCCGCCATGTGTGAATTAATTACTCTTTGAAATTGTGAGCTCGTTATCCATTAATAATCAGCTGTTTTTTCTATCATAATCGCTTGTGCTCATTTTCATAAGTCTGGTAAGTCTATCTTAACTTTATTAATGAAAAGATTAAAAGTTTCAGTGTTATCCAACAGCTTCTGCTCTTGACTTTTGCTCAGTTACTAGTTCATTCATTCGTTTTTGAGTGGTTCAGTGGCAGTTCAGAGTGTTCAGTGACAGTCAAAGAGATTTGGTCTTTGAGCTTCTGTAAATATCAATTTATTTGCTGCCGTTATCGAATCAGAAAACCCGACAACTGCAGTTGAAACAATGGCAAATGACACTTGAAGTCGACTGTAGTATAGTTTTTTTTTTACTAGAGCACCTGAATCCACATCATAGAGACCACGGAGAGCAGCTATTCTGTTAAGAATCAGGGTTATCCTAAAAAGCAAAGCGGTCGTAGAGTGTGAACTTTTTGTTGATAGGTAGATTTTTCGTTGGTGAGGTCAAACGAATCGGAATTGTTCGCCGCCCCTCGCGGAATTCCGATTTCGATAAGATTAAACTCGTCGATCTTTGATGTATTCACGGTACTGTCATTGAAAACTGTAAACACAAAGTGCTGAACGATCATTTCTTACTTCGCACAGATATCGACGTCATATCTGTGTTCGTTTTTTCTTTCCAATAGCTAGTGTCATTAGTCGCATTGTAGCAAATCTTCTTTCGATCAACAAAGGCAGAGAGTGCTTATGGTGGCGATAACCTGGGGCAGATTTTGGCCATTTTGACCTCGGGACTCCAGCGAACCACTATGGCTAAACTAGCAAGACTCCGAAAAGTGGAGAATATGCTGGGGCCTGCACAACCAGCGAGGACGGGCCGTCCAAATAGCGAATTATAGCTAGTTTCATAATCTTTAATAGGTTAGTTAGTCATCGGTTATAGATAGGTTTTTCTGTTGACGTGATGTTTTAGAAGGATTTCCTAGAAAGTTCCGCGTGTCGGCAACTATTCGGGAGTGAAATCATGTTGCATAATGATGATTTGTTTTTTTATGCTAAATGAAGCATTCCGAGACAGGATTATCCCTGAGTAATAGGTTGTCATTCTGGCGATGTAGACTTTTTATTTCATTTACAGAGTTGAATACGTAGAAAGTTCCAACTACTAGAAGTGCTTTTTATTCTGCCCTCTTCACTTATACTATTGAAAGGATGCGCTCAGTTGGTGTGGGGATCATTTCAATCATATCCCTCTTTTTTTGGTGACAGCTGCATATTTGTCCACATGACCCTAGAAAACATAGTTTCTGGATTCTAGCACTTTTTCACCCGATTCCTTTTCTCACATCCGTCATAACGAAGATCTTCGTATTTTCCTAAATGTTCGACTGGTGCGTTATGATTTTTAATGTTCACATACTTGTTGAATGCTAATGGAGTCGATACTCCCTGATATCCTGGAATAGCTGTGCTCGGTCATTCTAACGTTGATTGGAGGTAGTGGACTGATCCCAGACAAGTTAAGTGCCCATCTCCCGACCCCTGAGGAATGAGAGGCTTGGTGTGTCAGGGACGGGGTCCAACCAGCGCCTGGGTAGATTAGACCGTCCGCGTAATGAACGGGTTTACTACGACTGCACTACCCCCCTCGAACTGGCCAGTGATTACAATAGTGTAGAAACGTTCACTCTAAAATTGATAATACTTCCAAAAGCATTTCGAAGATAACTGATACTGATGATGTGTTCATGTCCAGGTTAGTTGCCTACGTCAGGGAAACTACTCGACGGTCTGATTCAATAACATTTTACTAGTACTGCGTTCATAAACAGCTAAGCCGGATGTTTTCAAGTTTGACGGTCCATTTTCATCTCACAAAACTCCTCATTAATGGATTTTCGTGTCATTCTAACGTGTAAGTTTAAGAGCAGTTCCTTGTAAGATGGACTTCAATTTGTTGCGTCTTAAACGTAGCTGTGGTACTTTCAAGTAATGAAGCACAGGAAATCCGACTACAATACACGCGACTCTACAAATCTGTCACTTTTTTAACTCCATGACAATGTGGTTGCGGACTTAAGTTACCTCCTCAAGAATCCCGTTCTTCTTCTCCATTTTCTCCTTCGTTGTGTTTTCAGAAGAACAAAAATCTGTAACTTCATTCTTCATTGAACTAGTAATAAATCAACCAGTTTCCCTTTAGTAGTGTAAAACTGAAGTACATTAGAACCATGCTAGTCTTTATGGATTCCTTTCCACTTCTTCTTCTTCTCTTCCACTGTATAGATGACTGTCATAAATCGTTGTCGGCTAGCAGACACTCTTTGCTCTCCACTTGTGCTGAGCCTACGTCACATACGTTGATTGGAGTAGTTATTTTATCGAAAATAGTAAAATTTGCGTTGGAAGCTTGTCTAGCTATATCCATGCATGTGTGCATCATTCGCTGGACTAACTACTACGGAGAAAATCCAAGACTGGAGAAGGAAGAATCTCTCCGGTGTGTGCGCAATTCATCGCTGTTTCGGATATTCAAGAGAAGTTCCTCAGAAAGAGGAGCGAGGTTGTCCACGTGAGAAAGAGTTATCTCATGAATCCTCTTCGTCTCAAAATGAGAATATCCATAGGTTTTTTTCGCTTCTGTTTTTTGATATCTAGACATATTCTATCTGATATTCTACATGATGGTTCAGTCTCTCAGAACATAAAGCAAGCTTACTGATGTTTTTTTTCTCGGATAAAAATGTGTTCTTCATTCCTGTTGTTTCTTTAACTCATATCCCTTTAAATTGTTTGCCGCCATTTCTGCATACATCTATACGCGTGTGTGGCGCAGTAGTTGGAGGCGCCACTGCGACACCACGCGTGGAGTCGAACCCACGCCCATGGCCCACCAAGCCTTGCATCCCTTCGGGGTCGGTAAATTGATACCAGACTTGTCTGAGAAGATAGCAGCACTGGCTCGATACATCGGTAGGTCACCGCGGGTCACTGTAAAGGCCACATATGCATTCAATCACCTCCAACGATGCTTAATGAAGTCGAATGCATGGCGCATCTCTCAGGGATTGATCAACACCGTAAGCTTTATCCTTTAACTTTATCTGTCTATACCTACATTAGCTTCCCTACTATCAAGGTTTGTGGAGTGCTCAAACTTACTGTCGTATGATTTCGCTTCTTCTCGCAACTACGCGTAATTTCGCTTTTATGCCGTAATGACGCCCGACTCCTAATCTTCAGCTTTTATGGACTTGATGGTTTTTTGATAATAAACGATGTTTTTCTTTTAGATAATTTAGGGATTTCATGAGTTGTGCACATAACTGGATTGTAGAAGAGACTTTGTTCTATCGTTCGATGATAGTGAATGATATGTACGATGTGTTTACTATGTGTTACTATCGTCCCTCAGACAAAAACGTTACTGTCTGCATTTGCAAGTGTTTTGTGGGCTCTACGATTCTATTTCAGCATTTTCTACACCAGCAAACTCTGTGCGCTAACCATGATTCGCTGTAGCATGTAGAATTGAAGTGATAGTCAATTATCACCCAGCTCTATAGTCATTGAACTCGTTCGGAAAACGATTTTTTGTGTATTTCTTGGTGTACAATAGAGCTTTTCTCGACCAATGCCCATCAAAACATCTGTGTTCCACAAGCTATCTATTGACCTCAAAAAATTTGGGGAAAACAGCTATTAAAATAAATCAGCGAAAGGAAAATGACACCTGTGGAATTCATGCCGGCCACTACGGTAATTCGCGATGACTCCTACAGGGGTCACACATCGCGAGGTTTTTAGTAGAAAATGAGACGAATTAAAACTGAGAGTTCTTTTTGTTAACTTATCCTTAGTAAATGTGTTTTCCTAATCTAGGTGTTTACACTCGGTTCTTAGTTCTTTGAAGTTGAGCAACTTTTCTGCCCTCTCCGCTCTTTTATGTTCTGAACTCCGAATTCCATTCAACCGTTACATTTCCTGAAAATCCACCGTCATAGAGCCGTGTAAGAACTTGCGTTCCAAGTTTACGAAATTGATTCTTGCTTCCTCACTTTCTATTCAGGCGTTAGCTTGGAAATCTTAACACCTCCAGTTATAAACTTGGTTTGAAAGAATTAGATGTGAGATTCGCTTAGTATTAATGATTTCTTACCTCACGCCGTTGCTGCCCCAAGTGTGTCCTGACCTCTAACTAACCTATTGTTATCTTCCATAATTCTTGCACTCTATCGTATTAATCATGGTTCAGTCGTTCTCGACGGGTACGTAAATATATTTGATTGATTTTTCTTGTTTCGCAGTTTTCTGTACTCGTCGGCAACTGCAGTAGTTGAAGTGCAGTAGCGTCATCCGGTGAGCGCGACTATTTGGAGGGAGCCGTACCAGATCGTGTCCAGCCGCTGCCTGTCGCCTGGCGACCGTCGTCGAGTAGCGATGAGCAGCATGAACACAGCCAACGTGTCGCCGCCAGCTCCTCAGCCTCCGCTTCCGGGTAGCGGCTCTCTGTCGGCGTCGTCGTCGTCGTCGGTCGAGCAGCTGGGTGTCCCAGGCGCCGACTCGGTTATGGTCACCGGTGGCGCCGGCGCCTTCTCATCGTCCGATGCTAAAGCGGTCGACGACATCAGACCGGTGTCCCGCGACCGCTGCAACACGTGGCCGATGCGACGACCGCAGCTTGATGTCAATGCACAGACGAGTCCGTTGATACATGAGCAGATACCAGAGGAGAATGAAGAGTGAGTAGTATAAAAAAACACTTCAGGATTGTCATAACATCATATTGTTCTTTGTATTCCAGACTATTACTGTACTTTATTAATTCCTCATAAGACTAGCAGCTTATGTTTTACGTAGGCGTGCCCACTAGAGATCATCCGCTTCTGACATACAATTGCGAATATTTAAGTGATTTAACACTGATTAGATACCTACAAGTCCCATTTTCACATACCATATGAGTCGTAGGTTTCCCTGTCGTTTAGCAATCTTCCATAAAGATGGTTAGATTGGAGTGTTGGTTTGGCCGCAGCTTGAGGCTGTCGTCTTCTCCTCACTGACATTCTGGATTTTGGTTCGAGCGTGGCTTTTCCCTTTAGTGCTGGAACGTCCCCAGGTGGTCACCAGATGTCATTGCTGGTTCTATCGGATTGGATTGAAATTTCCTGCTTTGAGACTAGTATTATTCCGAGATGAAAACAATTCCTCCACTGACAACGATTCCTTCGATTAGCCATTCGATAGGTCGAAGGCAAGGTAACAAGCCGAATCGCGGTCTGATACTGAGCACACTAAAGTGGCTAGCACTATGTTTTCGAGATAATGTCACGACAATTCGTCTAATATTTCACACAGTTTTCGTCACTATTTTTTATTTTTTATTTTAAACTAGTTTAGCTGCCTTAAAGGAGCTTTGCAAATAAATGCTTTTGGTTCGCAGCAAGTTCTATGAACGGATCTGCCCCTTGACAATAACGAACTCAAGTATCTATCCCTTAGGAAGCTAATCCGGATTTATACATGGTACTTCCAAAGAATGTGACTTCTGCGGCTTTAGATTTCTGAAGAACGCAAGTTTTCCGCGTATAATCCGAACAAGCGCTATTCAATCGAGTGAAGGACAAAGTCCTGCAGAGGCGTTACAATGCGCATTTCAGCATTGTAGCATTTACTAGTGCTACAGCCTGTACATAGTAGTAGCGTATGAATGTGATGCGACGTTCGTTTGGTAGTAAACAATTTATGGGGACTGATAAGGTCGGTCGTTCAAGGGAAGTAGTTAGTGCCGGGCCAAGTTTTCGCTCTCACTTCAGTCACCGGCGATGAGCCTCCAAATTGGACGAGTTATCCCGTCGTGATGGTTCATCGGTGATTAGTGCCGACAAATTGGACGAGTTGTCCCATCGTGATGGTTCGTTTGTAATAAATTTCTGGAAGTGGTAATCGTGTCATCCAGAGAGGGCAGCGTATCGGACGAATTTCGCTACCGTGGGTCGCACTTGCTGTTTTGCGATGGTTGGCCGCTTTGTGTTTCGCATTGTTAATGTTGGGTAGGGGCAGAGGGATCAGCATTCGTTGTGGAAGGCGAGATCGATGGTAATCCAACGGTTTTCATAGGTGGGAAGGAGTTCCAGCGCAATAGGTTTTGTTACTAGAGTTCTTTTAAGCTTGTTAATCACATACCAATCAAGTACTTCGAGAAATCTTTTTCCAGGCTCTACGATAGTGCGGAGAATTTGAATAGCAGACTGGGTGGTGACACGTCGGGCGCCTCAACCGATCTTCTCCACAGCCCCGATGGTACCAAGTTTTCGCCAAGGTGAGTATCGAGTTGGATTTTAGACAGAATACTTTCCTGGATAGGAACTCTCTTCGGAAGCTTTTTTCTGGTGACACTATCACCGTAGTATCCATATTATAAGAGAGCTCCCGTGCACGATTGACAGTGAATCATCATTTGAAACACGCTAGTGGCATTTTCGAATGGAAAATGTACTTGTATACACTACATTTTCGATGCCTTCAGTAGTTTGATACTTCCAAGGGGTGTGTTAACGTTCAGTTCGATCATCGGAGTAGTTCATTCGACGAAACATTCAAGATTCAGTCGCATTCTCCAATGATTCATTACCCATTTCTTGTGATAAAGTTTTTACTAGTCATTATACAAGTTGCATGAAGAAGAGCGAAGATCGTTCCAGCAGCTGCCACATGCCGTCGCCGGTGATGGGCGAGCAGTTGGCGCGAGGTGGCGACAATGGCGCCGGCGACGGAACGGCCGACGGCGGAGCAGCGGGCGCCGGTATCTCCAAGAAATCCACGACACGACGAAATGCCTGGGGAAATCTCAGCTATGCCGATCTGATTACACAGGCCATTATGCAGAGTCCGGAAAAACGACTGACACTCTCGCAAGGTATGTGCTTGTACTACCAATACAGTTTTTTTTTGTCCTTTTATTTGTTTGAGGTCAGTTTACTATTCCTACTTCGGTCTTATTCTCGTTAAATTGTCAGTAGTTCATGAGGATAGCGAAAACCTACGTAGCTATAGGGATGGAGGATTGATTAAAAGTGGGGGTTGTAAATAAAATCTACCCATTACCTGGATGAATAAGTGAATCAGTAGTAAAAAAGGATCCGCATGGTGTGGTACGCGTTATCCCCCGAAAAGGGGGTAATAGCGTGTTCGCTCCCCATCGCAGTTACCTGCGGTTTTGCAAATATCTCAGCATAATTGTGGTTGAATCAGTAGTATTTCAAAGCTACCGAAATGGTTGATCTAAAGCTTGGCTTTTGAGGTTTAAGAACTTGGGCGCATTGCTAATGATTCTAGTTTCATGTCTCTTAAGGCTTGCTTTAAAGTTTACTAAGTTTACTGTCATTATGACAGTTATAGATTATTTTCAATATTGATTTTTGCGGCATACTCTGTTTCCATTTTCGTGTTGTGTTTTTCTTTGAGTTGAACACGTTGTGATGTATTATAGATACACTCCCATGACATTATAGTTCATTAATTTCTTCATGTTCAGTGGCAGCACCTATGAGACCATGTGACAACAGAATAATATTAGCCATTAATTACTACTACTATTGAGGACTCGTGTAGCGCAGTAGTCGTAGGCGCCCTGCAACACACACAGGATCGATTCCCGCGCTCCAGGCTCACAAAGCCCGTCATCCTTACGGGATCGGCAAATTGGTACAAGACTTGTCTACAAGGATAGCAGCACTAGCTCGATACATCGGTAGGCCAGCGCGAGTCATTGTAAAGGTCACATGTGTATTCGATCACCTCCAACTTCGTTTCGTGAAGTCGAATGCATGGTGCACCCCTCAGAGATTGATCAGCGTCGGTAGCTTTATCCTTTCTTTATTTTGCAAATACGATATGTATACACATGTTTTGTTCGGATGATAAGTTGTGCTCTCATATTCTTGAAAGTTAAAATCGGAGAAGGATGAATGAGGGGTGTTAGTAATTAGCATGAACTTAATCGTGTAGAAAGGAACAGTTCTGCAAATGAATTGTCGTATATATTATACTTATATTTTATATTGTGTATTAGCAGCTCTGTCTCTCTATACTATTTATTGGTTAATTAACTGACTTAGTCTCCCAGCGGCTTACCGTCTCATCATGGGTGGGAGGTGTTCCTGGGGGTCGGAGTGCGATGTACAACGGGGAGATACATCTCTGGCAGGGTCTCTCGAGCTGAGGAGTCCGGCGTTTCCATGAGGAAGCCTAACCCAGGGTAAACCAGTGCCATCGTCCTGGTATCAAATTAGTCGCATGGTGACAAATCTCCTTCTGATCCACAAGGGCGGTGACTGTGATGGTGACGACTTGGGGCAGGCATAGGCGAGGTTGACCTGGAGACTCCAGGGAACCACAGCAGCCAAGCCAGCAAAACTCCGAAAAGTGGAGAATATGTTGGGGCTCGCACTGCCAGTGATAAAGTGATGTCCAAGTATCCAGGTGAGTAAGTATTGATTAACTTTGATCAATTCTGTTTCATCTAGAGATTTTCGTTTAAGGGTTTCATCGCCTGTTCAATCGCGTCCTTATAGCGTGAAACTTTAAGAATTGGGTTTTTTCCGGCAGAAAAGTGCCATCCATCTTGGTCACGGTTTTTTTCTTCACACCCAACTAAGCGATGAGATCGATCCTGACGGATTGTCAGTGAAGAAGCTTTTTTTCCTACGTGCATTGAATATTTTTGAATTGATATCCTGGACTGCCGGCATGTATAGGGTCTCACTTTCGTCATCCATCAATTAACACGTCTCTCTTTTTTTCTGTTTTTTTTCTTTCTTTGTTCCGATATCTTCACCTCCACTTTCCGTCTTTTTCTTCTTTCTTTATCACTTTAACTATCTTAGTAAGTCACAATCGCCGCATAATTTCGATCATTCCACTCTAGACAACCGCTTTAGATATATGGTGTAGTTTTCTAAAGTACTGGAACAAATGCTGGTCGGTTTGGTTTCTGATTGTTTCAGTAACAAGTCATTACTTTAGCGCTAAATTTGACATTGAGCCTTATCGGACAATAACCTGTCTTTTAGGTTTCAGTACTATAATCTTTTGTGGTGTTACTTAACTACAAAGTATGGTTGCTCATATCCTACCCTCAACCACTTTGCCTTTTACTGTGGTATTAGATTCGTTGCATATAACCGGTCTGGTTTAACTACGGGCTTAAAAACTGTGGTAGGCATAAAATGATTCAAGAGGGATATTAAAACTCAGCCTTTTTCTTCTTTTCGCAATAATCCCTGATGATCTTGGCTAAAGAGTTGGCTAGTGCTATGTAATTCATAGTTTTACAATTTAGTCGAGTTTGTTTTCTCTAATAGAGTCTCAGTTAATAGTTTAGTTATTTCAGTGTACGAATGGATGGTTCAGAACGTGCCCTATTTTCGTGACAAAGGAGATTCGAACAGTTCAGCTGGTTGGAAAGTCAGTTTCTTCGTACTTTTGGAACATTGTTTAACCTAGACTTCTGTTTTTTTTATGTTTTGTTAGTTTTTTGAAACCTTGGTTGGTCTCCGTCTTGGCTTCTGTTTTTTCCTCGTTTCATTACCTGAAACGAGAAGAAAAGACTTGTCATTCGCAAACAGTTTTCTTTTTACAGCTCACTGTATTCCTCCTTTTTCTTTATCGCATGGTTTTTCTTTTCTGTAGGTCTGTGGTGTCTTCTCATTCTACCCCTTCTTCAGAATTTTGTTTTACGTCGCAGTTTTACCAGGTAGTCTTTATGGCACCTGTCTCCTACCTGTTTGTGGTACTGAGGGATTTAGTGAGGATGGTACTAAATTTTGTGGAGTTTTCATCCGTTTTTATTTCGGTTTTCTAATATACTGCAGCTTTTTAGTTGACAGATCTTGTATTTTTAAAAGCCGTAAGGTTTTAGGAATTTTTATGAGCAACAATTCCAGAAATCTAGAAAAAAAAGCGGACCGAGAAACCAAAAAAAAAGCATGAACTCTGTCGCCATCATGTCGTGTTTTTTTCTCTTTTGCTTTAGACAGATTTTTTGTTCTTTGAGGTGTTTGAGCTGGACTAGCTAATTCGAAGGGTTCAGACTACCATTTTTATAGTGTTTACATCTTTTTTTTAGAAAGTCTGTGGTTATTATCTTGATCAAAGGTTACACTAAAAGAGGGGTCATAATTGGTACTAGGAGTCTATCTAACCTCATAGTTCGCTGTTTAACAGTTTGTAGGAGACCAAAGAAGATAAAACCATAAAGATGCTGAGATGTATTCAAAACTTCGGACCACTGGTGTCTGTGTTGAGTACCGAACACGTTACTACCCTTCTCGGAGGTTAACGCGTTCACTACGACACGCGAGTCCATCGTTTCGCCTGTATCTCAGCTGTGTTATCAACCTATAAGTGCCATCAACAAGGAGTGTTACACCAGTCGTTATACGTTCACGCAAATGCCTTCATCCCCATTTCTGTTAGTTGTGTGAACTCATTCTGAGAGAACGGGGAATAGTTAGATGCAACTGGCGGTGTGGCGCAGTGGTCGGAGGCGCCCTGCAACACACACATGGGGTCGATCCATCCGCCACAGGTTCACCAAGCCTTCCTTCCCTCCGGGGTCGGAAAATTGGTACCGGACTTGTCTGGGAGGATAGCACTGACTCGATACATCAGTAGTCCAGCGCGAGTCATTGTTAAAGCCAGATATTCATTCATACACCTCTGACGATGCTTAATGAAGTCGAATGCATAGCGCATCCTTCAAGAATTGATGATCAACGCCAAGAGCTTTATCCTTAGTCTGTTATTTAACTGGCGGTATTTTAGGCGTAGTCCATCTTATGTACTCTAATTTGAAAATGTTTTGTTCGTGATATAGGTGTTCGTTGATTGCTGACAGTAACATGTATTTCTTTCGGAGGGATCCATGCCGTCCCTTTATTCGCCGTCAACCATGTTCTTTGTGCCGCCTACTGGTTGTTCTTTCTTTCATTGTTGTTCACGAGGTTTTGTTATTTTCGCAGTCCGGATTTCTCTTTCTGCGATTCTCCGAACGTCACAAATCTATTCGTTTCGGTTTCATCGCAGCCAAACTCGTTTCGTAGGGAGGGCTTTGTGAGTTGTAGATGTTAATTTTTAAGAAGAGTAGGAGGAGGAGATTTTCGCGCCAGTGAAAGATTTCTGGACCACAGCTTAGAAGCTGAGAGAACGAGAATGAGTGAAAGGAATAGAAAGAGAGGAGAATATGGAAGAGTGGACGATTCAGAACCAGTGAACTGGTAATTTCCTGACAGAGCATTAGCATATGTGAGAAACGTAGAACTAATTGAATCATCAGACGAATCCTGCAGAGATTTTAAATAGGTAATCGCTTAGAATATGCTTTCATGGACCCATAGATTTGCTGGTGGAGTGGTAATCAGTAATAGTGATCTAAACGATATTTGAAGTTCTGTGTAATATTCAAATTTTTCTAAGGGATAAGTGGAATTTTAAGGACGCTCCTCCTTTATAAAGTAATTTGCAGAAGTATTTAGACTAGCGCCAGTGTTTTTTTCTTATCTCTGATAAAGGACAGAACTAACTACTTTTTTACTGGTTCATTGCGTCAACAGCTCTTATATTCGTTGTATTGTTGACTTGTTGTATGAGCAGTATTCTTAGATTTGAATAGACCAAAACTTCCCGCGCCATACAAAAGTCTAGTTATCTTACAGGGTTTCATGGAAGTGTGGTTTAAATATTTTTGTTTCCGTGTACGTTTGCACGAGAACATCGATATCTACGAGCTAATATTTACCACATGTTCAGGAGTGCTTAGGGTTTTCCGTTGGTGAGTAGAGCGTTTGGCGCACTGTCATTCATTGTAAAGGGTGACACATTAGTGAAGGCAGTGAGTGATGGCCAGATGTTCGACCTCAGTGGTCCGGCACTTACGTGGCCCATCCTCTTGAATGCTCCGCGCCTCCAATCCCAAAAATCGGAATCGTGATTGTTGGAGTTATCACTCGGAGGACATGGTTGACATCATTAAACCAAAGTATAAGAGTTATTGGTATGCTTAAGTGTGACTTAGAGGCTCCTGCTTGAAATATCTGCACCAGCAGTAGAGAGTTGATTATGCTTGACCGTTTAAAACTACTTGCATCTTCATGAGGAAAGTGTATTTAAATATATTCTTTATTGATATTTACTGCATTCAGATAACCACTGATATTTACTGTATTCGGATAACCACTGTGTACCTTTGAGTGGATTTATTCCTGGATAATCACTGTACTTCAACACAGAGATGAAAACGATACGATGAACCAAAGACATGGCATACAGTACATGACGGACAGATGTCATAACCTATCCATGTTCTAGTTGTTCACTGAGATGTACACTTTGCTGTTTACTATTCAAGAAGCTTACGAGTTTTTTTTAAGACTGTGGAAAGGATACTTGTTCCTCATAGGCTGCGAACTTCGACGAATTCGTAGAGGTGTTGGTGTACTGCTATTTTCATCTAAAATTTCTTAACACGTCAAAATTTTGCCGACTGTCGTCCACGAGTGGCCAGGTATCCCGCCTGAAGCGCCAGATTAGTGCCGATAAGTCTAAAAGTCATTTAGAGCTTATGGGAACAACCATTAGCACAAGTCTATCCTTAACTGGAAATCTAAGCCGAAATCCTGTTCATGACATTTTTCAGTCTCTAATTGGTGCTCGGGTAGTCATATCAAATGGCATGAAAATATGTCTTGACGATTCCACGTGTGTTGCAGGACGCCTCCAACCACTGCGAGCAATTGTTTGTTTACCTTTTGGTCTTCTTTCTTTGGTAGTACACTTCCAATGAAACCTTATGACCATAGCAAGAAGCTTCTTTCGACCATTTAATGTGGACATGTAGTTCTTAGTTTTTTTTCCAACATTTTTTCTTATGTTTCTGTAGTGCTTGGCTTACGTTGTTTCCACCGTGCCTATTTTTGATGTGTACTTCCCTTGTCCATTTACCCCGTCCCGACTTAGCTGGGATATTTCACCTGCTTTTCTGTCACACTCCACAGTGCAGTCTCTTATGCCGAGCTTTTCACAAACTACTGTTGCAGCGCGGCACCAACAGGCACAAGAAAATATCCTATGGAGGAAGGTGTGGTGATCCGTCTGGCTTTGGGCCTTAACCATCTTTGTGCGCTGGCGAATTCAAAGCCCCTCTCACCCATGTGCGATCTTCATGTGCTTTCTCTCCCTCATCGAATAACGCTTTTCATCGGCTGCCCTTTTTTCCGTTTTTTTCACGATTCATCGGAGCCTCGTGTTCAAATTTCCGCAGTGCAGTGCCTTTGGAAATGTCGTTTGCCATTGGGATGATGACTCAGGCTGGCGGAATACCGTGGTCAGCCATGGACGGCCGATGTTGAGGTCAATCAATTGCTAAGCGCACATTTCATTGAGAGCGATGATGCGGAAGAAGAGGTAACCATGAAAAGAGGTTGAGGTCAAGCAGTTAGATTTTTGAGATCTCAGACATAGCAGAGGCTGTAGGATCACAGATATCAGCATGACTATGAGTCTAAAGATGATTGTCTTCTTTGGTGTTGATAAATTCACATGCTTAGATGACTCGGATTCACATGTGCGAGTCACAGCACTTCTATCCGCCTCATTAACTTGCAGCCGTCATTCACGACGGCTGTTGAGCTCGTATATAGTTTCGTGTGCAAACTGAGGCCCTGTTGTCTGTTCTCATTATCATATTGAAGCTAGTAGATCAATATATTGAATCTAGCAGAACGTGATTTTACCCGGAAACTGGAGACGGCCAGGCTTGGGAGTGCTCATGTTGTCACCATAGGCAGCTACTGCTCTTTGTGAACTGGAATGAAATTAGCTGCCTAGTGATTCGGTTTCTTTCAAGACAATCCCAATTCCTATGTTGGCAGCGAATCGTGTTATTAATCAGCTGACACTGCTCAGGGACGCTGTAACAAGCCGAATCCCGTTGAATTCATATGATGAACACCACCACTGATGTGTCCTCTGTATGTTATGATCCAAAAATCCTAGAGGACGATATCACATGTCAAAGTGTTAATTTAGTATAAGCATAAAGGATAAAGGATAAAGCTTTCGGCGTTGATCAATCTCTGAGGGATACGCCACGCATTCGACTTCGTTAAGTATCGTTGGAGGTGATTGAATGCATATCTGGCCTTTACAGTGACTCGCAGTGGCCTACCGATGTGTCGAGCCAGTGTTGCTGTCCTCCCAGACAGGTTTGGTACCAATGAGTGACACCGGAGGGATGGAAGGCTTGGTGGGTCATGGGCACGGGCATCGATTCTACGTGTGTGTCGGAGTGGGGCCTCCAACCACTACGCCACAGGCGCCCTTAGTACAAGCAACTGTGGGAAATTGTTTTGCATTAGAATTAGGAGTCGTCTAAAAGTGAGAACAGGCGTTAAAACGTGTTGCCACCGTAGGGGCTACATTTTCTTCCTAGTTTCTGGCAGCAAAGCACTTCTGAAAAATACGCTACCTCCAAGGGTTTTGCTAGGAGCAGGGTTTGCGAACATTGAAAACCAAGCCGGTAACGATAGTGACAAGTGCTTAATGACACTGATCAAAGCATAGGAAAATCCATCTAGTGAAAGATTGCGTTGGAGAGCCGCCTAGTAATCGCACTCATTTGGTTGTTGGCTTGTCAGAGAATAGAAAACGCTCATAGCCGAGTCATGTCAGTTCACACAAACGTCATTTGCTTTTTCGTGTGAACTTGGGTGGAGCATGGGTAGATGGTACACTCGCCGCGGGTTACCGGTATGTCCCGGTATGTTGAGGAGAGCTGGACATGATGGCCGGCCGAGTGGATGGGTGCACCCGGTCGGTTGGTCAGTCTCGACGAGGGCCAGCCGTCCGTCCCTCTGTCCGTCCACCCAGCGCATTGATCGCACAAAAAACGAACGAACGGCGTTGCCGCCTGCGTCTCTGGCGGGTCGTCGCCTACTCTCCGTCGGGCGCACGCGAACTCCCACGTCCCCGGCACGTACAGGACGACAGACCCGCGGCCCGAACGCCGTCCGCGACGGTGCGACGCCGCGACGGCGACACACTGCGGCCGACGACGGACGATCGACCGACCGACGGACGGCGGCTGCGCGTCGCGTTCGGTTTTTTGCGCCCGCCTGCTCATAACTCGTCGCGGCGCGCGCGTTCGCCTCCTTCGTCCTCCACCTCGTCGACAACATTCACCTCGTTCACCTCGTCCACCTCGTCTACCTCATCTACCTCATCCACCCTGTCTACCTCATCCACGTACACCTCATTTGCCCTATTTGGTTCGTCTACCTGTTTTCCTGCTAGTCTCTCATTATCTACCTCATCTCCTGTGCCATTTATACGTACTCTTTCTTTTTGTTCCTGAATTTTCACCTCGTCCATACAGTATGGAGGCGTCGGTCTCGTCGTCCTCGGTAGACGATGATTTCGGTCCAGAAATCCGCGGTCGATGTTACACTTGGCCAATGCAACAGTTCATCTACGACACAGTGCCGAGTACGGCATTATCGCTTGAACATCCCCCATCATCAGTGCATCCATCGATGCCACGTGAACCGACCGTGGCCCAGCTTCTAGCGGCTACTCCATCGTCTTCCACAGCTATGGGTACTCATCTTATGCCGTTAGGAATGACGTTACCTCCCGATTTCTCTACTGGTCATTCACTGCTACCTCCGAAAAAGAAACGATGTCGTAAGAAGCCGAGCGATCAGTTAGCGCAGAAGAAACCAAATCCGTGGGGTGAAGAGTCCTACTCGGATATCATAGCGAAAGCACTCGAGTCAGCTCCAGAAGGACGACTCAAGCTGAACGAGATCTATCAGTGGTTTTCCGATAATATTCCTTATTTTCGAGAGCGATCCAGTCAAGAAGACGCTGCTGGATGGAAGGTTAGAATATTTCATTTCCGATTTCCTAGATGTTTTCGTTCACGATGTATATGTGAGTGATTACGAATACAGCTATGTTCTGGTACAAAAGATATTTTACCCTGTTTAGGTGTAAGCGATTTAAGATCTTTGCTGACATATTACACATCATAAACGTGTACAGAATGAAAAAATGGATACCCTGTTTTGAAGTCAGGAACGAAATTCATGCCGTTCCAGCGTTCTGAGTTCCTCCGCGTTCCTTGCTTGGACGTCGCTTCACCCTTTAATCGGGGTTTTTGTTTGTTTCTTCGCTTTCTGGGGATGCAGTTCAGTGTGCTATGGTGCCTTGTGGCCCAGTGGTCCATTTCTCTGTGCCCTTGTTTCTCCACAATTCTCTCTACCACGGGCCCATCTATCGTGGCCTCATCAGCTGGTCCTCCTTTCCAGTAATCCGCTTCTAATCGCCGGTTGGGGTGCCCGTTCCGCCATATGATGTCGAGAAAAAACCTGCTCTTTAGTTCAAAGGTGTCGATGTGACTGCTAACGACTGTAGTACTGCCGTCTGATGACATCACTCATATTTTCATACAAACCTACCTTGAGTACTATTTTCTATGATATTATACGCACGTACTACAGGTTTTCTCGAGGGTATACAGTGGTTGCCTGTGGCTTTCATCTCCCATTCGAGCAATATCCCCAAAACCGTTTAAACTGAATATACGAATTTATTCACAAGTTCGTAAAACACCTCATTTAAAGGTGTTTGGTTTAAGTCTAAATTATTGTGGAACAAAGCTGTGAAATGGATATGTAGAATTTCACTCTTTTGGTCTAAAAATGGTTTCGTATTGGCTTCATACTGACATTTTCATGGTGGACATGCGGACAGTTAGGTCGTAGGCGGTGTTTCTTAGTTGTTTCGCATCAAAGCTGCTTTTTCCAGCCGATTTGTCTCCTTTGCTGTCAGCTTTCTAAGCTTGCTTCTACTCCTACTGTGTAGTAGACCTGCGCGTTTGTTGCGACGAAAACGAGTTTTGTTTCGCTGTGGGTCGAACAATTTACGACTATTGATTCGATTAATGAAATTGATTAGATACGGTTGCTGCTTGGCTAATTACTAGTAGCAGGTATGAAAGACAGATGACGGCGATAATAACGGCCAACTAAGCAGTACCATAGGCGACAAACTGTCGCAATATGACGTACAGGCGTCAGGATGTATCACATTGGAATCGAATGAACGTCGCTGCTTACCAGTCGGTGCACATATGTCATCTTGCGGGATCGTTCGGGTCACCGATAACCTTGCTATCAATGGCCATCTGGGTACGGCAGGGTGAGCGACGCGTTTCGCAGAACGACTCGACATTCTCCGGCGTTTCTTTTCAGCAAAAGAGGCAATAAATGTGTCATTTCTGGTGACATTCGTTGTAATGCAAAACGTCGTTCGATGAAATGGTTGGCGTGATGGAGGAAAGCACAGTTAAGAAAATGATGGGCTTAAATTACTTCAAAATGGTCCTGTTGTTGATCACTACATGAGAAGGCCAAATAATCGTTGCTGTTGGTCACGATTTAAAATAGAGAATGTTAAGACATACGAAATACGCATGATTTGTCTGGGAACCAGGAAGATTATTGATCACAATTGAAATATTTTAACTTAGTTGTTAGCGGTCCTCCAATTATCATGGACTGGAAATTTAAGGATAAAGGATAGAGCTCTTGGCGTTGATCAATCTCTGAGGGTGCGCCATGCATTCAACATCATTAAGAATCGTTAGGGGTTGTTGAGTGCATATCTTACAGAATGAATGACTGGCAGTGGCCTATCGATGCATCGAGTCAGTTCTGCTATCCTCCCAGACATCTCTGGTGCCAGTCTGCCAACCCCGGAGAGATGGAAGGCTTGGTGAGCCTGGTGCGCGAGATCGAACCCACGTGTATTGTAGGGCGCCTCTAACCGCTGCGCTACTTATGAATGAAAATCAGTAGGTTAAAATTACTCTGGTAATTTACCCTGGTTTCAGTTTCTTCGTGTTGTTGGGGTTCTTTATGAGAATTGGCTGAACTGTGCGGATTCTTCCAGTCATTTCTTCTTTCCGCGTTTATAATTAGCGATTGGCTGGCTTCATGGACTGAGTAGATTTTCCGTGCTCTGCAGAGTGGCCGGAACGGGAAGCGTGTCGCCCGCCGCCTGCCACCAACTTGCTGCCCGGCCGGCCACTCACCCCTATTGTCTACTCAGCATCGTGCCCACCGTGTGTGTGTCTGTGTATATGTCTATATGTATTAGGTGGTTTGTGTATGTAAATGCTAGTGGCACGAACGGGCTCCGGACTAAAGATCAGCACGTCGTTTGTTTGACATTCGATGTGCTTTAGTAACTAAAATTCTTCGGGCAGTTATAATTCCATCGTGGTGATGACCAATGGAGAAGCTGAGCGATCGATGACCTTTATATTCATCCAGAAATTGTGCAATCCAAGGAGCTCAAGCTTGTTTAGATCAGCTATCTTTCATCTGGCTAACGAATTGTCGTATGCAGTATGAGTTGATTTGCATTCATTAGTTTCCAAAGACAAATGCTTCTTCAGAGCCATTTTCAGTGGCCGCTTCCGACAAAGTGGCACCACCTCAGAAGAATTCACGTGCGTTGGGGGATTTCTAATTTTACAGCTTGGTGTCATAACGACATGCACCTTAGTGGAAATTTCCCCATTACCAAGCAAGAATATCGATGACCGGAAAAAAAATGTGACGAAATCTGTGGATTTCTAGGCCATAGCGATACATATATTGATTTGTTTCTGGAAAATTGCCGACTGTTCTAGAAAAGCATCGTAACTGACTGTTTACGACCTCTTATTTTAAGGGAGAGAGTTCTTATAGGACTTGTGTATTATGCTAATGTTGTATTTATGCGACGTGGACCATGTGCTGCTTTACCGACCTCTTCCTGCCAGCTTGGCAGTAATATGAGCGGTCCTAGCATTATGGTTCCTCATTGGGTGAAGGAGGAACGTAGGTTAGCGAACAGACAAATAGTCAAAGCACACACGGCAAATATCTTACCAGCTGGCTCACTAGTCGTCGCCATGGGAGGCGTGAGACCCAACTGGAGGATTGACAGCCGTCAAAGGTTATGATGTTTAGAGTTTAGCAAGGTAGCAGCGGCATAAATTTTCTTCTACTGGAGCATTGTGTGTTCTCAGAAATACACTACTTCCGTACACGTGACTTGATTTCGGTTGATTTCCCGTGCCAGTCGGTAACTTGCCCTTTTCTATTTTCCCTTTGGCTATAACGAAACGTTTCTTTTCGCTCACTTGATGTCAGTAAATCATTAAGAACTCTTTTTTTTTTTAAACATTTATGCGACAGCAAGACAGGTCTTAATCTCAAGCGATGCCAAACCAATGGATGCTTTCAGCTCTAAACCAACGTCTTATTTTATGGCGAATATTACAACGAAACCTACCAGAATTTATAAAAGATTACTTGTTTTGGCAGAATGAGTTTCTGATTTTCCGAAGTCTGTGACATCTATTTCTGTCACTTTAAAACTCTTATTTCGAGTACGAAGGTGAATGAGCAAAGAGGATTTCGTCTAGCATCACACTAAGGTATTCCCCAGTGTATCGTTTGTGTTTTCAGTAGTTGCCACTCTTCTGTTCGGAATTTTAAAGACTTAAATTCGACTGTCAGTTTTTGGAGGCTTTAATCTTTACCTATTTAAATTTGTGGAGATACTGCTCTATACGAGTTGTATATGCAATTGACGCAATAGAGCAAAGTGTCGTACATACTTCTATAGCGTTCTGAACACCTGGAATGTTCCAGCTATCGGTAAATTATCTCCAGTTGTCGGAAAATCTGCTTCATCGCGTACGAGTTGAGGTGTTCTAGTCATATGTCATAGATTCGCTTTAGAGCAACTAGTTTTCAAAACGTCTAAGAAACATTGAATTTGATAAATGACCGAAGTGATGCGAAGAAGAGAGTGTTATGGGCTGCTGAATGTGAATATGAAACGGTTTTCCATTTCTAGGACAACTACCAAACATACCTTTCACCGGATGTCACCGGTTTTCTTGGCCATTAATACCTGATGGTCCTGAGCGCTGTACGTTTATTGTTTCAGAACTCAATTCGACATAATCTGTCGCTGCACTCACGCTTCATGCGTATCCAGAATGAAGGTGCTGGCAAGTCGTCATGGTGGGTGATCAATCCGGACGCGAAACCGGGCCGAAATCCCCGGCGTGTGCGCGCCTCCACCCTCGACACCACCAGCAAGGTAGAGTGAATGGTGTCTGTCAGATGTTTTCGTTTTCATCTTAAACCACATTCGAGGAATATCTGTGAAGATAAGTCGAATGGAAAAACAGTTTCTGGCTTAGGAAAATTTTAACTCATTTATCTCTTTGTTCCACTTTAACTTGACCTTTTCTGCATATTCTAGCAGTGCCTGGTTTCCTAAGTTTTTTGTTGACCAAATTTTAAGTTTCCATAGCCCCGTATCATCTTCTGCCTGGTTGTTTTGGAAACGGTTAAAACATTGAAAAATTTCCACATATTTCAGTTCATGGTCTCATCTTTGTAAGTTTACTTTAACTTACGATTTCAATTCCAGTGGTCGTGAGTATGAGGTAGCTTCTTGAAGTTATATCTATGCGAAGACTTTTCTCGGCACCTGTTTAACGATTTTTCGTAGTCACCTAGTTCTTGCTACTTGAAACAAGCGAGGTGTCGTTCTTGGTAAGCGCATCCCTCACTCACGTCATTTTTTCGCTCCAGCTTTACAGTTTCTTTTCCAGAAAGATTTTCTTCATTGTAGAGTTGGGTGTTAGGTTCACATTGCATGGACTTCATACTTCATCTGTGTGGTACCCGAGGTTTACAGTAGTTGTTTCGAGTTCTGCCAACATTTCCATCCAAAGCCCTTCTTTGCTGCTGTACTTCTCATCTTTATCGCACCATCTGTTTTTTTCTTCATCCTTCTACTTATTTTGTATGGGAGGCGTTTGAAAAATTTTTCATCCGTTGCTTCCTCTCGATATTTCTTGCATTCAATCGTTTTAGCTACGATCTGCCTTGATATTCTCATTAATACTGTACAGTACTGTGGAAGATGCGGTGTCTTGTCTTATTGCGTTATTGGTTTCTGTCTTTCGTGATAATTTAATCTCTCGGAACTACTGGCCGTCCTGCTCTTCTACGCTAAGAGGACGAGGGTTTCCGAGGTTGTTGTCATTACTTTCTGATATGCGTAGCTCTATCTCAGTTCAACACTTTGGCTCATTTTTCTGTGGTCAGTGAAGTCGACAGTTTTTTTCTGCCCCATTTTGGCGAAATAAGTTTTTTGCGAATGCATCTAATGGCATTCACGTTGACTTCGACCGATTTGTACAGCTTCTCCATCTGTCATTAGCAAAGCGCTCTTGATCCTCTATCTGATCGCATGCAAAACGTTCCAGTCGATTCGCGAATGTGTGAGTCGCGTATGACTCAAAAAGTGGCCGAGACTGGTCTTCATTGAACCCAGGCAAACACCTCTATTCTCGTATCATACTTTATTGATTCGGATACAAACCGTTAGAGTCGACAGATCCGTTCCTATGTGGTAGGTCTCATCAATACCGAGTGCCAGTACTCAATAATCAATAGGCAATATGCCCGACTATCGTTGCAGTTGTAACGATGCCGACAGTGGGAATTGTAAACCATTATATGGGATCTAAAGAACATTGATTTTGAGGCAAAATCCTTGGTTAGTTCAGAACTAAAACTCGATTTGTCAGTGGTGATTCGTTAGAGTGGTTTTTCCAATATCCTTGGCAAATTTTGTGGTGTACTATGTCTGTTGCAGCATAGGTACTGATGCTTATTCAGCATTTATGCTGCCCTCGGTCGGACTACGGGTCGTAGCGACGTAATGGGTTCTAGACATTTTTTGCACTCATCTTGTCATCACAACACTACGATGTGATTGCATGCTAGCCGAAGAGTAGCTGTAAATTGGAGTGGGTGATGAACAGATGCTCCGTATCACTAGTCCGCACGACCTGACAGCTTCTCGTGGATTATTCATCATTGTCAATCCAGGATCTGGTCTCGATGCCGAAGAGCATTTCCTCGATCTTTTTTTCCTTGTGAAATTTTTTTACACAAGTTGAGAGGGTGCCCATAGTTATGTTGAGCCCTACCAAGGAACTCTGAAAATGTAAAAGTATCCAACTTGCAACGATTCGCTTCTCTAGGTCTTCTGTTCTCTTCGGTAAGTTAGAAGGTTGTGCTTTAAGATCTGCGTCCAGCTGGTGTTAAATTAACTTGGTTTACTGTGATATCAACAAGCGTGGTTTCGAATATTCGTGCAATTCCATATTACAAATCCATATCACAGTTATTTCGTGTTTACTGCTGTGACCTAGCCACCTTTGAAGCAGTTTTTTCTCATCCAGTGGTCGGAAATCTTGCTCTGACGTCGACGGGGTGCGTCTTAGCTCGCGCTGTAGGTGGTGTTATTGTTTCTTCGTCGATTTCGCACAGCTCTTTATCCTAATTTAATGCACAACCACGAGCAGTTCGACGTCTTTAAAGAAGATTGTTTCTTTTTCAGGCAACACTGAGTAAAAAACTTAAAGGAGCTCGAAAACGGATCCATGAAATTCGTTCTGTCGGCGGGCTGCACAGTGGCGTGTCCAGCTTAGGTGGATCGCAGGTAACTAGCTAATTACTTGGTCACTCTCAGTTTATCTCAAATCAATTTTCAGTTAGCGCTTTAAACCTTGCGAAAAAAAACCCAATGCATTATTTCTTTAGACGTCAGTTATGTCACATGACATCTACGGTGACGACGATGCTATGCAGACCTCGTTCGACTCGGTATTCCGGTATGTTATCCATATGTTGCTCAAGTGTTGTTTGAATCAGAAGAGAAAACTTGCAGCAGTAACTTGCACGGATGGCCTCTGCCTTGGTTTTTTTCAAACTTACCATACATTGATTTTATTTGAACGAATAGGTTTCTGCGAGTAGAAGCCTCAAAATTTCTGCCGTTAAAAGCGAAATCTATTGTCAACATCCATCTTTTGGATTCTTACTGAAGAGCGTGTGTCCTTTAAATTGATTTTTTTTCGCATTTAAATTTCACGAATAGAGGCAAGTAAAAATGTAACTTTGCAGACGATTTCTTCATACTTTCAAACGTGTTTTGCTCGTTCACTGGCTAATTCGTCCAGGATAACCGTAGTGATTTTCAACGTTCATGTGCTTCAGTCCCAGAACGCAGTCGAACTTGTCGGTGCCCGGCTCGTCAACCCGAGTGTCACCGTCGATGGAGCACCCGTTCGACGACTTTGACTTTCCCAGTTGGGTCAACGACGCCGCAGCAGCGTCGACGGCTGCCGCAGCTGCCGCCGGCAACGCCAATCATTCCAGCGCTGCTCCGATCCCTACCGACATTCTTGACAGGACTGATCAGGTACGGCACTCCTTATAAGTGGGAAGGTGGGGGTTCGAATGTGTCGCTTTAATCATACGATCAGATAGTGGATATTCAATAATGAGAACGTGTTACAATACAAAGGCCACCATTTATGAAATGCAAGTGTATTGTTCTCGATTTGAGTTATAGTTGTAGTTGAGTTATAGATTCGAATCGACTCTTGTCGTGCAATGATGAATGGTGTGAAACAGGAGCCAAAGTCTATTAAGGTGCGTGAGCCTGTTGTCAGTTTTTCTGCCTGATCTATTTTTTTCTCAGTGGCCTTGTATTCTCCTTGCTAATTGTAGTTGTTCACTGATTCATTCATTCATTGTGAGCAAGGAGTTCAATTAGTAAATTCTTTATTATTACAACCACTATTTAAGTACGAGTAGAACAACTTTGCAATTCTTCTCGAGGAGCATCTTAATAGCTATTTTATAGAAAGTTTGGACTAACATATGTTGGGATAGGGGTTTGGGCCTATGCGGCTCTGAAATCTAAATTCGAATTTTCAGACCGAACCATCTGTGGCGCAGCCACAGCCACCTTCTTATCTTGAGTTGAGTAGTGTCAGAAATCACTCTCAGCTACAGAACCCGCTTCTTCGATCCCAGTTGGCATCCGTGAAATTCCCTGGATCTGGGTAGGTGGTGATTTTCCACTTTCAAGATATTGGAACTCTAATTTTCATAAGTTTGAGTAGTAGCGCTAAATTAATGCGTTGTGTAAATCTCTCAGCTGTGATGAGGGTAAACCATATTTATGTAAAAATTATTATTTATTGTAAGCAGATAAGATAAGCTGAGATAACTTGATTATCTATTTGGTTGAAACACTTCCGGAATCTGGTCACTACCATCGGCATTCATTCGTGCATAAGTTAACTTTATACATTAATCTGTACACAACTTTATGTAATGTACCGTCTAGATATTGTTAAGTTTAGGCTTCCGCTCACATATCAGACCTATTCGCCGTGGCCAGGAGCGCATCATAGCCCACATCTTCTTCCGCCGTCGTCATGTGCAGCAGTCGCGCAGGCGAATTCCGTCGCGGCAGCCGCCGCGCTACCGTCGGACCTCGAAAGCCTCACACTGCCCGACCAGCCGCTGATGGATTTCGAAGTCGAATCACTTTTACGGCACGAACTTTCGCAGACAACGGATCATCGCCTCAATTTTGACAATCTCTGATCGCTGTACACCTATGCCCGTGTCGTCCGTCCATTCGTCGTGGTTTCACCACTCTTCGTGGTGGCTGTTCATTCATTGAACGATCGAGACAATTCGAGTTGTTCGTTTAGTGTTCTCATTTGTGATTTTTATTTTTTTTCATCATATAATTTCTTCTGTTCACCATACTTCACACACCGTTTGTCTCGTCAGTTGCCTTTTTGTTCGTCTGTTTTTCCACTTTTTCGCTCTCCGTCTCAAGCGACCTCTATCACCCAGTTCTAGAAAATTGTTGATTTGTGGTTTTTTTTCGTGCATGCTTGTCCTGTTTCTTTTGCATTCGTTTGCCCAACGTAAACCATCATCCCCACCACCACTTCAGCTGTCCACCGCATCACCTCCCTCCTCAACAAACGAGTCGTTGAAGATTTCTATTATTTTTATGTTTATTTTTTTGTTTTCGTATGGTATGTTTTCGGATAATAATGGGCTACCTCGCAGTTGTTGCTATTGTGATGATATCTTGCTGATCGCCAGCAGCCGGGTACAATCGCCCCTTCCTCTCGCCTACCCGTTCGTCCGTCCGTTCGTCCGCGTTTCCGACCCACCCATATTATTGTGTTGGCGCTCTTCCGTACAAACCGTTCCGCTGCACTGTTTTTTTCCGCTCACCACCAGGTAGATGCATTTCTTTGTACATAGGATATATGCGCTTATCATCTCGCAATGCTATCCACTAGAACTATATTACAATATGAACACACAAATTGCGCTCATCTGTTTTTGATGGGCTAAGGATAGTGCTTTGGTTGGTGAAAGATGGACGCGCTTGTGATGTACGTTAATAAGTGGTTAGTAATAACTACATATATGAAGGTAAAAAAGTCAATGTGTTTGAGTAGTGGTGTGTCGAGTCCATTCATCCTTAGCGCGTATGCGAAACCTATTCAGCTGTACGCTGTATATCTCTAGTTGGACTCAGTAATCGCATAGGATCGTACCGGCCCACTCACCCAAAAACCGTCTTTCGGCGGGCATTCTGACTCTGTGTATGTTATTTTTTTATTGGTAGTTATTGGTAGTTGTTCTTGAAGAACATCTGGGAAATTCGACGTTGTTACAAATATGCAGAAGTGTATGATTGGTCTACCTGCAACCATCTACAAGCTCGTCCTGTATTATTTATCACCGCTAAAGCATTCTCTTCATTTGTATGTACAAGTTTCCCTTCCTCTTTAAAGTGTCTTTTTATGTTTAAAAGTCACCAAAATAAACGGTTAGAAATTATGGCAAGACTCGTCAGTGTTATTCAGGACAAGTTTTTAGTAAGAGGAATATAAGGAAATTGGGCCTATATCACGTCGATAGCAATTTGTACCTTTGCTCCAGATCCGTGTTATTTCTTTCACCAGTCGAACCTCGAGCAAAGCTAATTTCCAGTATGAGTAATGCAGTAGGCTGAATAACTCTGCTTTCTGCAAGTGAAGAATTCTGTGCGAGGAATCATTTTCCTCCCTTTTTTTCCTGCCTTGAAGAATCACCTATTTCTAACAGTCTTGGTAGGTCGCTTTTCCTTTTCATGGTAACTAGTTTGCCTACTTCAGAGCCTGAATAATGAGTTTTATGGAACTCTATCAATAGAACTTCAGTGATGCTGAGGTATTTTCAGAACTCCGGACCGAGGTGTCTGCGATTGGGAACGAACGCGCTATTGTCCTTTCCGGGTTGTAACGCGTTCACGACCACACCATACTGGTCCATCGTTTTTTCTATTAATATAATTCGGTGAATTACTTGGATACTTCGAAGACTCGTTCTCACTGGTTGTGGAGACCCCAGCATATTCTCCATTTCCGGAGTTTTGCTGGTTTAGCCGTTCTTTTAGTCGGAGTGCTGAGGTCAGCCTGGCCAAAGTCTGCCCCAGGTCGTCAGCACCACAGGTAGTGCCTGTGGATGATAGGGAGATTTGCGATCATGCGACTGGTTTGGTACTAGGACGGTGGTGGATCCTGGTATTGGTTTATTCCTAGAAGGGCTTCCTGACGGAAGCGTTCTCAGCATGGGAGACCCTGTCTGGGGGATGAATCTCACATCATCGCAGCTCGACACGCAGAAACACCTCGCGGCCACGGCGAGGCAGTTCAGTGAATTATCTATAGTATTGATGAAGGCCCGCTGTGCAAATGAATAGTACTTTCTTTGTTAAAAACTACTCGCCGTTCTGTGAGGTGTTAAATTAACCATGTGCTGTTCAGGTGAGATGAGCTATAAAATCCAACCTGATCAAAGAACAAAGATACGGGAAGGCACCAAGTCAGGTGTGATAGTTTTTAGGAAAATGGCGTTCATTTTTACAATAGGTTTGCACTAATACCCTAGTAATTCACGGAATTATTTGGGTCGAGTTACGTAAAATACGTCCAAGCTATGAAGAAGGCGAAGCCGCCGAAACGTAAGCAATTAAATCACATGGCTGATAAACTGATAACAACCGGTGAAATTCTGATTACGAAGTTGCTATCTATAACTAACGAAGGGTTTTTGTGTACCGAGTAAGGAGCCCTCATTTACCTGAGGCCTCTGTAACCATTTTTATGGTAATAAAATCATTGGAAGTGAGGCAGACCCGTTTTGCATCCACGTGATACCTCAGCAGGTTTCTAGCCATGTCGAATAAGGGATAAAGGATTAAGGTCTAGGCACTTATCAATCCCTGAAGGATACGCATCTAGCCTATACAATGACTTGCGTTGGCTTAGCAATGTATCAAGTCAGTGCTGCTATCCTCCCATACAGATCAGTACCCATGGCGAATTTGATCGATAATAATTAACCCCTTTTACATATACCCTGCTAACAAAATTGATCTTCATCTAGGGTTCTGCCAGTTTGGTAAGGATAACTCGAATAAAGAGCTTGTCAACGACATGAAGTAGGAAGAATGGGTTATAGCTGTTGAAGCCGTGTAGGCTTCCCTACTTGTGCTACAACAAACCTTTCCCAACTGTTATTTGTTTGGGTACCATCCGTTTCAATAAAAGGACTGTTAAAAACAGAGCTAGAACTTTTTATCTCGTTGCTATACTGAAATTACAATGTGATAGAGAAGTGTACTTGACGACAAATCAATATATCTAAGCCATCGAACATTCCAGAAATCCAACTAGTGCTATTGCTAAATGAAGTCCTGTAGAGTCATTTGCTAACTACGCAAGGCGTTCCATTTTATTTTTCTTGCGATCGCTTCATTGCTACGTAGGAATCATTCCCATCCGAACAGTTTTCGCAGTTTTCGTTTGTACTTATCAAAAATGTGTCTACCTCGTGAGCCACCGGGTTTAATGTGAGTTTTTATAGTCAAGTATAAAATTCGTGAGGTATGAACTACACTGTGTGCTACAGCATCATTTTCAGTACTGTTCATCACGGAGTGGTACGAGTATACGAGTACTGTCATCTACGAGATATTCTACTGGCCCTAAGGACACGAAGGGCATCACGACGAAGCTGTGATTGTTCTTTGTTTTAGGCGAGAAAACATCCATCCACCAATAATTCGTGATACGGGTTTACTCTTAGTTAGAGTTCTAGATGAGAACACGAAACTCTCCATTTTAGGTGGCCATGTTAGTGGTGAACACCAAATTGTACATTACACATCGACATCCTGGGACAGACACATCATAGACACGGTGATGCTGCAAACCACTGGCGACATGCTGCATGTAGTTGGTCTCTGTTTTTCGACATTTCTAATCTAAGAGCTATGTGGGGTGTTTAATATTACCCCAAGGGAGCGCTTTTAACATTCATTTGCCGCATTCGCACAATCGATAGCACTTTAGAGTAAGTACTTGTACGAACTGCAAGAGTCTGCATACGGAGTTCGAGGCGGACGGAGTACGTGGGTTGTTTTTGCCGGAGCGCTACCGTGACCAGCCTCGGGCACAAAAACAACGCTGCGTCTCTGGCAATTGCGTCGCCCGCTCGTCCGGATTCCGCCGCGTCTCTCGTCCGTGCACTTGCTCAGAGTCCACACATGACGCTTGGCGCTATGCTATTCTCATCACGGCCACGACTACGCTAGGACTTGAGGGGTCGACTTCGAGGCTTCAGAATCCCTTTTTACTGACCATTCGATGTTCGGAGGTGTTATGGCTTCATGGTGAAGACATAGAAGTGGTGCGCACTCGCGTTCAAGTACTCAGCTCTGGTGCACCTCGCAGCGTAGCGTAAACAGAAATGTTTTTAACCTTTTTTATTTACTGCCTACTGTAATTTTTAACGGCAGGGTATCATGTGAAATACAACTAAGGTAATGCTGAGATATTCGCAAAACTCCGAACCGCAGGTGTCTGCGGTGGGGAACGAACGCGCTATTGTCGTTTCTAGGGAGTAACGCGTTCACCACCACACCATACAGGTCCTTCGTTTCGCCTGTCTCTCAGCTAGTTCTATTGATCGGCACCATCAGCGATCACCTAGGCGAAACGAAGGACCCGCATGGTGTGGTGGTGAACGCGTTACTCCCTGGAAACGACAATAGCGCGTTCGTTCCCCACCGCAGACACCTGCGGTTCGGAGTTTTGCGAATATCTCAGCATCATCTTAGAAATGTTTTTATTTTTAGTTCACGATCCTCGATAGGATGTCCGTATGCCGTAACAGTGGTCACCGTGTGCACCAGTTCACCCAGCGGTGTAGTGTTTCATATTTCTTGTTGTATTTAGGTTTACTGAGACAGTTCTTTTGATGAGCGCATTTTGTCGTTTCCTTCATAATTGTGAACTCGAACAACTTCGAAATGGTCGTTCACGATAGAACTCTATCGCCACTAGAAACTCAGCAAACCTTTTAAATTGTAAAATAATTCGTCGTAATCATTGATAGGGCACAGTGTACTGTTTTTACTAGAGCTTAAACAGAACATTTTTTTTATTTGATCCGTCTTCACGTCTACTGTGCGGATCCGAGCACTTCCCACAAGCAGTTCGTTTCCTCGCATCCATCGTCCATGAAGG